CAGCTCAGCCTTAGGACAATGGTTCCAAATCTCCCTGCCCAAGGGTCAGGGCTAAGTGACCCCTTTGGGACAGGACCCCAGCCTCAGACCCCAGCCAGCCTCCCCAGCCCCAGGGGCACTCACAGAGCTGCTCAGCTTCTGTCCACAGGTGGAAGCTGATGTTGGGCTTGGGCAGAGGGGTCCCCTGCAGCCCCTCCTGGGGAGCATTCCCTGGGAAAAGAAGGATGCTTGGAGCACACGGGAGCATTTCCCACACAGGAGCACAAACTCCCAGTGCTGAGYGCTGCCTGAGGCAGCCCCTGGGCCCTCCCAGCCTGGTACTCCTGGCTGGATGTGAGCCCATGAGGCCCCTGCTGTCACAMACAGAGCCATCAGGGAGTGTCTGCACTGGGAAGGAGAAATGAAAAAGGGGAAACTGAGGCAGGGTGAAGGACCTCGCTTTGCAGCCATTGCAGAATAAATAAACATTCCTCCAACCCTGGGCCTGCAGTGCACGTGGGGATCTGAGCCCTCTGCTCCCACCAGCACCGGCTCTTCAACCCACGAGAGCTCTGTGACCATAGTGGGACAATTTAACCCAAAAGGTGAGGATCCCACTGCCCTCCCTGCACCACCGGCTGCTCCTCCCCGTATCTGGCACTGGGACCATCTCCAGCTCTTCTGGGGAGGGCTTGGGACACAGGGAGTAGCCAGRAGAGGAACCCCCATTTCCCTCTGCCTGCCCCAGACTGGTGTGAGATGTGAAGGATTGGGATTTTGTTACAGTTTGTGTCCCCAGTGGCACTGAGCTGGAACAGAACATGGCAGGGATGGCAGGAGATGGCAGTGCCACCATCCAGCACTTCCCAGAAAGGTTTGGGCAGGAAGGGGCCTTACAGCCCACYCAGTGCCACCCGTGCCATGGGCAGGGACACCTTCCATGGCCTTGGACACTCCAGGGCTGGGGTAGCCCCAGCTGCTCTGGTGAACCCTGTACAGCAGCACAGGGAGGAGGGCACAGTGTCCCCCCTGTCCAGGCCATGGCAGGGTGTCCCCTACACCAACAGAGCTCCCCCAGGTGACATGGCTGTCACCCTTTGCAGACAACAGAGACATGGCCCAGGGCAGCTGGATCAGCAGCAGAGATTTCCATTGTCCCCTCCCCTGGTGACAAATCTCTACCAAGGCCAGCTCTCGCTGCTGGCCATCAGGTCACTGCGAGGAGCCTGAGCCTGACCCTGCTGCTCCAGGGGGTGGGCAGCGGTGGGGGTGGCACAGGGACACAG